CCCCCCCCCCCCCCCCCCCCCCCCCCCCCCCGCCGCACTCCCAGAATGGTTCCTTCCGCACCAGGCCCAGCAACTCTTTCTCCAGCCGCCTCCACCGCGAGCGGCCCCCCGGCGCGCCCTTTCCTTCCTTCGCCCGCTTTTCCCCACCCCTGCCGGGACAATACTCGGGCCGCAAACATGGCGCCCGCCCAATGCCATCCTGCCTCCGCAGCTCTCGGCCCGGCGGAGCCGACTCGAGAGGCCGTGCCAGAGCCGGCCAGCTTTTCCCCCTCACGCCCGAGCTCTCCAGCGCTCACCTGAGGGAGCCGCAAGGACGCGGCTGACAGGCCCTCCTCTTTTTTTTTTACTCGAGACACCGAGCTGGGGTCTGAACTAACGGCGGGCCCGGGGGGCTCCTCCGGCTGTTAGCGCCCGGCGGGACGGAGACCGAGGCGGCAGCGGATAGCCCGCGCCGTCGCGGCCGCCCGCGAGCTCCTGGTTGTGGCGGCGGCGGCGGCGGAGGGGGTGGTGGTTGCTGGATCCGGCTGCAGCGACGCATTCGGGGCGGGAGGCGGAGCGCGTCGCCAAGGGCCGCAGTCCGGCTGCGGGTTGGGTGCGGAGGCGCCCGTGGCCGAGAATCTTCCCCTCCTCCTCCCCCCCTCGGCACAAACAATGCGGCGGCTTCACCACAGCGCTCGCGCCGGCGGGGGAGGGGAGGGAGGGAGCGCGCTGGTGGGGCGGGGGGGGGGAAAGAGAGGAGGAGAGGAGGAGGAGCAGGACGTGAGGGCGCCAGGCACCTCCCAGCCCCGCGGACGACGTCGACGCAAACGGCAAGCCGAGACGCCGCGCGTTTTGTGGGCGGAGCCAACGGGTCCCTTTCCTCTCTCTCTCTCTCTCTCTCTCCCTCTCTCCCTCTCCCCCCACCCCCCGAAGTTCGTCACTCTTCCATCAGCCAATCATCGTGGGGAAAGGTTTAAGGTTTCCCCCTCCCCCAAGCTTCTCTCGGCGGACGTAAACTGCGCTCCAGAAGAGGAGCGGGAGTTCGCGCGGTGTGGGCTGGGTTGGTGGTTTTTTTGGTGTTTTTTGCCGGCTGTCCGTTAAAACTTGCCGGGTTGAAAAGCCAAACGGCAGCTTAGAAAGCCAGCGTTGTTGGTGTGGGGGTTGATGACTGCCATTTTGGTCCACTCCCGCGAACCCTCCGATTAAAGGATGATGATGGTTTGGGATTAAACTCTGGTTGACTGGCAGATTGCTGAGTAACACGTGAGAAGGGACTCCTGCATTTATCTCTTGCCAGAAGCCATTCCCCCTTCTCCGTAGGGTAAAGCTTCTGCAGGAATATCGGGATCGTGTGTTAATAAAATGTGTGTGTTCCTGCTAGTACGGGTAGTCCTCGATTTAGGACCACAATCGAGCCCAAAAATAATGTCAAGTGAGACACCTGTTAAGTGAGTTTTGCCCATGTTACCACCTATCTTGCCAAAGTTGTTAAGTGAATCACTGCAGCTGTCAAGTTGGTAACAAAGTTGTTAAGTCAATCGGGCTTCCCCATTGATTTTGCTTGTCAAAAAGTTGCAAACTGATCACATGAGCTTTGGACACAGCAAAGGTCATTAGTATTAGAACCAGTTGCCAAGCATCTTAATTTTGATCACATGATCCTGGGGCGCTACAAAAGTTGTGTGAAAGAAAAATGGTCATAAGTCATCTTTTCAGTGCCGTTGTAACTGAGCCATCACTAAATGAACTGTTTTAAGTCAAGCACTCTCTGTATTGGGTGGCTGCTAGTCGCTGTCTTCAACTAGTCTACCCCTCAAGGTTGAGGGTATAGAGAGTAAAGGAGATGATCTTGACAGAAACATGCAAGAATATTTACAAATATAGATAACATTTACCTAAGTAAAGGGATAAAACATTGTTTTAATTATGGGAAGAAAAAATAGCAGTGCTGCTCAGGCAAACGCTACTTCTGTGTTTAATTTTAACCTGGCAGAACAAGCCACCTTTCTGGCTTTGTTGTTGGGCAAAAATAAGTCATTATTGGTATATGTTTCTGAAGCTGACAGCAGAGCAATGGGCTCTGTGGAGAAAGAGGCTCTGCTAAGAGCCTCCACTTCAGTATATTGGCCGAGCACTTTGGCTCTCCAACTGTCACCTTATTCAAATGGTATAAGGAAGGTTGGATCCTTCAGCTTTATCCTTCCTTGTTTGACAGTCATTCAATTTTGTTCTTGTGTATCCTTAAGTGTTTGTTCTTGCCATAAAGCTGTTCCTAGATCTGAGTTGGCTTGTTTAGGGCACATGACTGTTCAGAGGATGTTGAGAGTCATTCTCTTGCTTAGTTCCTTTGGCAACTGCTGCAACCTTTTTCCTGATCTTAGGTGGGACAATGCCAGCAAAAGAATATATTTCTCAATTGGTATAGGTATGAGACATCCTGTCAGTAAGCGTACTGCTTCTTTGACGATGCTATCAGCTTGTTTCACATGGGCAGATGTGTCCTACTGTAGTAAAGATGCTCAAGGCCAAAGATGATGTGCGCAGTGTAGATGGTTATTAATTTCCTGATATTGTTCCTTAGTGTTCAGGCAGTGTTGTTGAAAGGAGAGTATCCTGCTGAAATATTTAGGTGCTGGACAGTGCTGTAGTCAGTTCCCTTGCCACATAACGTTCAACTCTTCCCTTGCATCTCAATTTCGGAGGTGGAAAGCACATACTTGGATCTTGTTTGGGTTGGGCATTAAATGGGTAATATAATTCTTCAAGAATTAGGATAATTAGGATAAGAAACCTAGGATTAGTAACCTATTAACCTATTAGGATAAGAAACCATTTTAATGCTAAAGTTTACATTATAGTAATCAGGTTTCCATGTATTAGGAATATATTATATTAAATAAAAATCCATGTTGTTTTAAAGATTTAATCAATATCTATTGAAATGCATTTCTAAATGTTATTTGAAAAATACCCAAAGCTGCTGAAATATCCCAAAAGGTAAGAGCACACAATGAAATACATTTCACCAAAGAAAATCTAATATTATAATGTATTTTCCAAATATCAAAATTCATTCACATTACTTTGTACATTCTATAGTTGCTTCCAGCTTTCCTATTTTTCCTTCTCTTTGTAAACTTGGAGCATTTCAGAACTAACTGTTAATTTTAAGTTTCCCCTACTTTATCTGTCGGGTTTAAAATGTTTGTGGATTCAGTGCATCTTTACAAAGCAAAGATCACTAAAGAGGAAAAGTAAACTATACTTTCTGATAGGATTACAGTTACATTTTTAACTTTTTAATAGTTATCTTTTCCACTACCAACAGAAAGGCTTACCATAAAAAGACCATTGTATGGCAAAACAGGTTGCATTTAACTATAAAGGAGAGGTCTTAATACAATTAAATGGATGCATTTATTTTAAAATGACAGGCTTTAAGAAAGTAGACCAAATTGCCATACAAGGGTTAAAATATATACATCTATGAGTCATCCAGTTTTTCCTGGTTAAGTTTATCTTCATGATTTGTACAAAAACTAAGTATACTTTCAACAATTACACCTGATTTTCAAAGACTAATTAAACAATATCTACATATTCCTGGTACTTTAAAATATTAATGTTTTATCTTGGCATAAGCCCAAAGAAATATAACTGGTTAAACAAGTAAACAAAAGCTTTTGCATATTTTTAATGGATCATAATGGTTTTATTAGGCATACTCTTAATACATTTGAATGCTTCAAATGCTGAAGAGACAAATGTCTGGGAGTGAAGGAAGCACTAATCTGATAATTACATGGTGCAATCCAGTGTGATGGAATTCTGTATATTTAGTCAACATACATGTCTCTTCATGAAAAATACATAGCTGTGGAAGAAAAAAATACAGATAAAATATATTACATCTCTGCACCCAAGGTAGAGGTCATATGGTAAAACACAACATGTTCAAACTAACAAGGAAAAATTATGTATAGAATGATACATTTAAAAAATATTAACTCAATTGTATTTTCTCACATACAGGTACATAAGACTGCTGGTTTAAACACATGTATTTTATAAAACCCAATTATTTATTTTATATTAATACTGTAACAGTAAGCATTTAATACATTTAATAGTAGAAAGAATATAGGATGACGTTTTTGTTTGCATTTGCAGTTTTCCACACCCATTGCCCTCTTCCACATCCAGTTTACATTATTAATGTTAGGGCAGTACCCTTACAGAGTTTATGAATTTGATTTATATTCAAATAAAATGACCGGAAAGGAAATTAAGTCTGTTTGGTCACACAGAATTGACACTTGTATGAATAAGCAGCCTTTGGAACTTTGTGCATGAGATTGGGCTTGAAGTACATATATCAAATTAGTTATCTTTTTTATGTAAAAATAAAGCTAGTAACAATTGAAGAGCATAAGTTTTTGCCTTTTCTCTCAGCCACTTAGAGAATATTTTATAAGTGTTTACAAGGACACTGGCCATGTTGGAACTCCCGATTTTTCTACAATTAAAAAGTAAACTTGGGAGTTTGGAAGCAAGTTCAGAAATACCATAGTTATTTACTAACCCTATTAAATACTTAATGTTTTAAATGTTCTTGTATATTAAATATCAGTTTAATATCCAGCACTGGGATGAATTTTATCAATTTATCAATTAAAGAAGTACAAAAGTACAAGGCAATCCTTGCATTGATTCCGGTTCGGATTTATTTTTTTTGCAGCGAGAGCCTGGTGATACTAAGAGGCAAAATAGGTGTTTTGAGTGATTAATACAACCTCTCATTCCTGAAACCTCACACTAGCCCTAACCCTAAAAAAAAGTAGGATATGGCATTCGGCCCATGAAAATGGTACACCCAGACGCCGAAAGAGCAGTTGAGACGCGCGCACGGAGTAAGGTTTTCCAGAGTTTTAGAACCAAATGTCCGCTGCCTATCGGAGATGGTTTTGTGCATCTTTTCCTTTTTTGTAAAGCAAACCGCGGCGCTCGACTCAGCATCCGTTTCTGAATAAGGGATCCATCGCTCGCAACTTCGGTTTGACACCCTCAGTCTCCGAAGACAAACTCTTCTTCTCCCCCCCCCCCCCCCCCCCCCCCCCCCCCCCCCCCCCCCCCCCC